GCGACCTTTTTCTCCCTCCCTTCTCTTCTTCTTTTAGTTGTCAGCCTGAACCCCCCCCCCCAAACCCCCACTTATTTATCCCCATATCTCCCTTCTCGTCTTCGTTCTTCCCTTCTTTTCTCGTCCCTTTCTCTGCTTTTTGCCTCCATTTACCTTGCTACTGTCGGGGCTACATCCGTTGTAGCGGTGACAGCCCCTTTTTGGTTTTTGATACGTGGTATTTTCTGTGTTTTTCAGGGAAATTCTCGGAGTTGTTAGAGACAAGCTGGGCGCACGAGCACTAGCAAAGGAGAGTAGCCTAGGCGAGTGTCAGCAAAGGGCGGTGGGAAGCTGGACGTGAGCGTGCAACAACATCGAGTACAACAAATCAACCACAGGCTCTGTTCTCGGGAGTTGGTACCTCCCGTTTTACTGTTTCCCTTTTGGTGTTAGCCAAATTGATGCCACTTTAGTTCACAATAGTTCAATTATACAACTAGTGCGCTAGCGAGTCCTCTTTAGCTTGTTGTAGGTGTAGTGGTTGTAGTCTGGGATGATAGAGTAAGGGCATGTCCTTGGGTGGGGCAGAGTGTGGGGCGGGGGCCAGGGGGTGGGACGGGAGGTGGGGGAGGTAGAGGGGGCAAGGGAGCCTATAGGTTGAGAATCGGGTCATGGAAAATAGGTTCACTAACAAGTAAGTCTATAGAGTTGGCAAAGATCCTTCAGAAGAGGAAGATTATATAACGTATGTCCAGGAGACTAGGTGGGTCGGATCGAGGGCGAAGGATGGGTATAAGTTGTGGTACTCTGGAGTCCTGAGGGGTAAGAATGGAGTAGGTATCTTGGTAGATAGGCATGTTAGAGAGTCGGTGGTAGAGGTTAGGCGGGTGAATGATAGATTAATGACTATTAAGTTGGTGGTGGGTGAGTGTACTTTAAATGTCGTTAGCGCGTACGCGCCGCAAGCAGGCTTGGATGAGGAGATTAAAAAGCGCTTTTGTGAGGGGTTGGATGAGATCGTGCATAGTATTCCGCCTGCCGAGAGGTTATTCATAGGAGGAGATTTCAATGGTCATATTGGGTCGTCTGCAGGTGGTTATACTGAGGTGCATGGCGGCTTCGGTTTCGGGGAGCAGAACGGAGGGGGTACTTCACTGTTGGACTTCGCCAAGGCATTCGAGCTAGTGATTGCGAACTCAAGTTTCCCGTAGCGGAAGAGCATTTGGTTACTTCCAAAGTTCGGTGGCGAAGACTAAAATTGACTATCTCCTCTTCAGGAGATGTGACAGAAGGTTGTGCCAGGATTGCAAGGTTATTTATCCCTGGTGAGACCTTCGCAACGCAACATAGGCTTTTGGTGATGGACATGGTATTATGATTAGGAGGAAGAAGAGGTCAGTTTGAGGTCGTCCGAGGATCAGGTGGGACGCCTTGACTAAGGATAAAGTTCATGAGTTGGAAGGAAGGTTATCGACTATGAGAGCTTGGAGGAGTAGTGGGGACGCAAACACTATGTGGTCGTCGACGGCGGACTGTATAAGGAAGGCGGCGAGAGAGGTGTTAGGGATATCTTCGGGCCGCACCAGTGGCCACAAAGGAGACTGGTGGTGGAATGCAGTTGTCCAAGGTAAAGTGGAAGCGAAAAGGCGGCTTACCTGCGGTTAGTAGGGAGCACTGGCGAGGAGGAAAGGAGAGCGAACAGTGAGAGGTATAAGGTAGCTAGGAAGGAGGCGAAGATGTAGTCATGGAGGCTAAGACCGCGGCTTTTGCTCGTCTGTATGAGGAACTGGGGAACAAAGGCGGGGAGAAGAAGTTATTCCGGCTGGCTAAGGCGAGGGAGAGGAGGGCTCGGGATCTGGACCAAGTGAGGTGCATAAAAGATGAGGACGGCAAAGTTTTGATGAAGGATGACCAGATTAAGAGGAGATGGCACACCTACTTTCATAAACTTCTAAATGAAGAAGGGGATCAGGATATTGTACTAGGTGAATTGAGGAATGTCGACAGTCCCCATGACTTTAGTTATTGTAGGCAAATTGAGGTCGAGGAGGTCATGGAGGCAATGTGCAAGATGAGTAGGGGCAGAGCTACTGGGCCAGATGAAATTCCGGTTGAACTTTGGAGGTGTGTGGGTAGAGCAGGCTTGGAATGGCTGACTGGGTTGTTTAATGTTATATTCAAGACGAATAGGATGCCTGAAGAGTGGAGGTGGAGTACAATGGTTCCGTTGTATAAGAACAAAGGCGATATCCAGAGTTGTAACAATTATAGGGGTATCAAATTACTGAGTCATACCATGAAAGTTTGGGAGAGAGTGGTAGAAATGAGAGTGCGGAGGGCAGTGTCTATTTCAGACAACCAGTTTGGGTTCATCCCGGGGCGTTCTACCACAGAAGCTATCCACCTTATTAGGAGGATGGTGGAACAGTACAGGGATAGGAAGAAGGATCTCCACATGGTGTTTATTGATCTAGAGAAAGCGTACGACAGGGTTCCTAGGGAGGTCCTATGGAGCTGCTTGGAGGCTAAAGGGGTTCCGGTTGCCTACATTAGGGTGATTAAAGACATGTATTATGGAGCTAAGACTCGGGTTAGGACAGTAGGAGGCGACTCAAAGCATTTTCCGGTTGTTATGGGGTTGCACCAAGGGTCTGCGCTTAGCCCATTCCTATTTGCCCTGGTGAGAGGATGCACTGACTCGTCATATTCAAGGGGAGGTGCCATGGTGTATGCTATTTGCTGATGACATAGTTCTGATTGATGAGACACGAGGCGGCGTCAAAGAGAGGCTGGAGGTTTGGAGACATGCCCTTGAGTCTAAGGGTCTCAAGTTGAGCAGGACTAAGACGGAGTACCTCGAGTGCAAATTTGGTGTCGAGCCGACGGAAGCGGGAGTGGACGTGAGGCTTGACTCTCAAGTCATTCCCAAGAGGGGTAGTTTCAAGTACCTTGGATCGGTTATTCAGGGGATTGGGGAGATCGACGAGGATGTCACACACCGTATAGGGGTGGGGTGAATGAAGTGGAGGTTATCGTCGGGAGTCCTATGTGACAAGAAAGTGCCACTGTTACTAAAAGGTAAGTTTTATGGAGCAGTGGTTAGGCCTGCCATGTTGTACGGGACTGAGTGTTGGCCGGTTAAGAACTCAGACATCCAGAAGATGAAAGTAGCAGAGATGAGGATGTTGAGGTGGATGTGCAGGCATACAAAGATAGATAGGATTAGGAATGAAGATATTCGGGAGAAGGTGGGCATGACCCCTATGGAGGACAAGATGCGGGAAGCAAGACTCAGATGGTTCGGGCACATTCAGAGGAGGAGCACTGATGCCCCGGTGAGGAGGTGTGAGCGACTGGCTGTGGTGGGCACGAGGAGAGGTAGAGGGCGGCCCAAGAAGTACTGGGGAGAGGTGATCAGGCAGGACATGACGCGACTTAGGATCACTGAGGACATGGCCCTTGACAGGGAATTGTGGAGGTCGAGCATTGAGGTTGTAGGTTAGGAGGATGTTGTGAATATTTCTACGGCGCACCAGAGTCAGACTAACCAGTTAGGATTTAGTTTTAGGATGCTAGTGGTTATCTACTGATGCAGGGCTTTATCTGCTGGTTATTGTTGTACTTTCCATCTACTTCGTATTTTTTATACTGCTGTTATTTTATAAAGATTCTATTGATGGTACTAATATATCGTCTCTTTGTCGCCTTCTTGAGCCGGGGGTCTCCTGGAAACAGCCTCTCTGCCCTGTGGGTAGGGGTAAGGTCTGCGTATACATTACCCTCCCCAGACCCCACTTGTGGGATTACACTGGGCCGTTGTTGTTGTTGATTTTTGATTCGATCAATCTTTAAGATTCTTACTAATGAACTCATTGCACCTTACAAATTATAGGTTCAGAATTTGATATTTGCTGAAATTTTAGTGATTTGGACATAAATATCTATGCTTTATGTCGACAATGCTGGGTTCAGTTGAACCAATTAAATCCATGCTCCATCCGCCTCTGGGAATACAGAACTAGATTGTGGAAGATACAATGAACAGCTATCTAAAGGTAGAGAAAATCTGGATCTTTGAAGGCTGCTCTTATCTTGAAAGTCAAGCTAAGTTTCCTGAGAATAGTGTCAGATCAATGAAATTTTACTATGTTGCTTTGTTATGCCAATGTTGGATAGAATTTATGGATTCTCTTATGAGAAAATTCTCAATTTAAAGATGCTAGTTTCACAGAAGAGGTTTTTTTCTAATACAAAGAAGCTAGCAGATGGATGAATATAATTCCGGGGTGTGTATAAACTATAATGTCAACTTCTTTCTGTTAGCCGGTATTTTCCTTAGAGTAAGTGTTTCATTAGCTCTAGGCTTCTGACACATGCTTCTGCAATTCTTTTGCTGAATGCTGATACATAAAATATAAGAGTTTTTTAGAAAGCAATTTCTTGTCACTAGATAATTAGTGGCATTAAGTTAATACTAAAAAAGCCATCTTCAATCATACAACTTTTTGGGCAGTACCAATCATTTACTTCTTCCTCACAAGATGTTCCAACAAATTGCATAACATTTACTTTCATGTGCCACAAATTTTGGATTCCGAGGTTATTATAGAATTTCTTAAGCTCAAGTAATGCTTGGTGCATTTCCCTAATGTATCTACATTTTGGTCAAAAAGGGACCCTGCCCCATCCCCATAACCAGTTTCGTCTCTGGTTGGAATGTAGGATTGTTGGTTACGAATTTGGCTTTCCCCATGCAACTTCCATCTTGTGGTGAGCTTAATTTGGAAATTAAGTGGACTTCCTTGCAATTGCACGCGGAATAGACTTTCTTGTAATTCTGAGCTATGAGTGCCAGAGTTCAAAGGTTTTGGTAATATTCTTTGCATTATTATGCTAAGCAGGTGCATCAAGTTTCATTTTCAATGTTAATCATCACATTCAAAGATGATTAATACAGATGACATTATATGTCAACTTGCTTGTACATAAGGCTAAGTATATGTGCTACATATCATAGAACATATGAGAATATACTGTAACTAGATTTTTCAATTTGTTTGGAAAGTTACAAAAGCACCTAAAAAGTATGAGGGCTAAAATTCATATGAGGAAGCTTACAATTATAGAAAATATGGATTGATGGCCAGCATATCTCTTCTCAGATCAACTACTCCCATTTTGGCAGGTGAAGAACCTCACATGTCAAACAAATGTGACATACTACAATTAGGCTTCAGTCCATGTCGTATTATCTTGATCTCTCTGTTGATCTGGCTCCATTGATCTGTATTTGTAGCGGGTGGCCCAGAGGAGATAGTGTAAGAAATTGAGTCCACTAAGTATGCACATTAACCAGTAAAACCTTTCAAGGTGATAATGATTCAAATTACTGCCAGAAAGCCATGGTGTTTGTTCAAAGCTACCAGTTATACTATTAACGAGTGATACGAGGACTGAACTGAGGTAATATCCCATGGCTAGTGATGCCCAAGAGAATGATGTCGCCAAAGACCTCATGCTATAGGGAGCTTCTGTAAAGAAGAATTCCATCAAGCCGGCCAAGCTGAAAAGATCAGCTGATCCAAGGAACAGGTATTGCAGAGCCACCCAAAGGAATGTGATTGGAAGCGGTTCTGTAGAATTCATTAATCCAGACTGCATTGCCACTCTCTTCCGCTTCATCTCCACCAGAGCTGCAACAGCCATGGCTATAATTGATAGGACTAACCCTGTTCCAATTCTTTGTAGATGAGTAATGCCCATTTCATTCTTGCTCACCTTCCTGGCAAATGGGATTATAATATGGTTATAGATTGGTGCAAGTATCATGATGAATATGACTGGAAATACTGGAAGAGAAGCTGGTGGAACTTTTAGAGCACCAATATTTGTGTTCATGGTTGCTGCTTGTTGCACTGAAAATGTGGAAAGCTGAGCTAGGCAACAGTTGAGCATAACAGTAGATACAAATATCGGCAAGATCTTGATGACTATCTTCACCTCTTGCACTTGTTTCAATGTGCAGTAAAGTGAGGGGTAGGTTGCCTTGTTTGCTCTTGCTTTGCTAATGAACTTCATGTCCTCTGATTTGGTTTCAGTCTCTGCCTTCCCTTTCTCATGTCCTTCTTCCTCACTAGACTCAGTTGTGCTTGAGGGGTTTGTCCTAATTTCTACCGCAGAATTGGTAGAATTCCTAGGATGGAGAGAGTTGCAAATTGCTGCAGCTGCAACCTGTTAAGACAAATTAATGAGAAGTTCCGCCTTGGTGTGTGGCATGACGGTACAGGATGTAGATACTATTACTATACCTTAAAAATGGTTGTAATAGGGCTTCCTGTGGGAACTTTGATCCTATAAGTCTCAGAGCCTAGGAGGAAAATCACAATGGAGGTCAATATTGCTATGGTTGAGATGCCAAAACCCCACTGCCAGCCTTTATTATCTTCTACCCACACCACTAATGTCACTGCAATAAGTGCTCCACAAGAAAGGCAAAAGATGTAATAATTGAAAAATGATGATCTGTGCTTCCTTCCTTGTGGTTGGTGTTCATCAAATTGCTCAGCCCCATGTGGAGGAAGTGACCCTTTTATGCCTCCAACACCTAGGGCCACCAGGTAAAGACCAGAAAATAACATAGCTGCTTGGCCATCATCAACTTCTTCGCATGCAATGTTTCTGTTAACTGATGTACAAATGGGTGGCCTCAGAGAAGGTATGCGAGCTTGCACTGTGAGAATCAATAGTCCCTGTTCCAGTGTTTTTCAGTTAGTAACAAACCATGCTACATAAGATACTAGTCATTTTTACAGTGGTTGTCAAGTCTTAAAAAGAAGAAAGGTTACTTGTCATTTTCAATATTCTGTAACATGTTAAGAACTTTCTGAGAGATGAGGCCTCTCCTTTTGAGCACCTTACTTTGTTACAGAAAAAAGAATAGGCCCATGCCTAGGCCTCCACCTTTTTCAAGGTAATGAAGTCTTGAAAACTTCTTGGTGAACATCTTGATCATTTCAGAATTTTACCTGGTGAATTGGATAAAGGGATTGTATTTATTTGCGCGATACCTGTCTTCAGTTGCATTCTCCGATTTGAATTAGTTGTACAGTAACCTTTTTCATTATTTCTCCAAGAAAAACTAAAGTACACTTATTATCAAAGAAGCATGTCTTTATCATTTCAATGTATTGAAAATGTGCTACCTGAATTTTTATGTCAACCATCATTATGGGGTGAATGGATTCTTTCCCTGCAGACCATATTCAGCATTTCTGATTTCCGATTGGACGGAACTAAGTCAAGACATGTAAATTTTAACGTATGACATTGTTCTTCAATATCTGCATGGTACCCACCTAGGAGTTGGCTTATTCTCTAACCAGTCGCTACAACAAATGAGTTAGCAAGGGCTGAAAATCGTTTTGTTCTATGCGTTTTGCCAAGTTATGTGTATGCCTTTGTATTAGAAAAAAAAGCTCATCCGGTTAGTTGTTGGACTTTTGCATTTATTACTGCTGATATTTGATTTACCAGAATAATAAGTAGTTTAGTCGAAGGGGGAGTCTTTGTTTAAATTTGAATTTAATAGGATAAGTTAGTTGAGATAGTTTAGGTTTTTGAAATTGAATATTTATTCTCCTGATAATTTGCAGATTCTGTTTTAAAATTGGCTATTTAAAGCCTTGTTATGCTTAATAAAATTATTGAGAGATATTTTCAATCAATATTTTTAATATTTTTGGTGCCCCATATTTTAGAAAACCAACAGTGGTATCAAGAGCTTCACTGGTCATACGGGATTTGTGAATTCTTCCAAAGAACCATTTTCAAATCATTTTTAACCAATATCAATTTTTTAAACTCATTTTCAAACATGGCAAACAACAGTCTCTCTTTGAATGCCCCACAAACTTTCACTGTTAAAAACTATCAGATTTGGTCAGTGAAAATAAAATCGTATCTTGAAACCTATGATTTATGGATTGTTGTAATAGAAGAAAGATCTTTACAACCACTCCTTGCAAATATTATCATTACCCAAATAAAAACTCCTTTAGAAGAACCTTTGGAAAAGACAAAGTTTTTACTGCCCCATCTTTTAAAAAACCAACATTAGTGAATGTTACTTAACAAAAAATGATATCAAGAGAAAAGTTCTTACCGTAAATTCAATTATTGCACTTGTCAGGTAGATGCAATAAGTGGTGAAGAATGCATCAGATAAGAACCCACCAAGTAGAGCGAGAAGGAAAGCGGTCCCCATAAAGTTTGTTACTATATTGGCTGAAGCAGATGGAGAGAAATGCATGAACTTTGATAGATAGATGACTAGATTGCTTGCATTTGCCAGGTATGCTAGGTTCTCCAAGATTTCCACCACTAGTGTTCACAAAGGAAGAAATATTATCGTTATAACCTCGAATTCACTATCACATGAAAATGCTAATGAAGAAACACAAACCTAAAACAAAGGAGGCAGCAACCACTCCACCATGGCATCCTTTAATGGCTGGCCTATTTCTCCAGTCCATGTAGCCTTCCCATATGATATACCTGTGGCCATGATCCTGCATTCATGATGTAAGCAACTTTAGAAACAATTGACTGGAACAAGAAGAAGAGGAGATGAGGACAGGAAAAAAGGTGCACCATCTCTCTTTCTTTCTCTAACTGAGATCTTAAAGTATCTAAGTCGAAATCACCCAGCCTGACGAGGAATTTATGCTGAGTCACATTTAAATAGTGGAGGGGGATTGCGATGCTCAAATTGTATAGAAATTTCTGGATCATTTGAAAGTGACCTGCTCTTAGTGGACATCTTTACTCCTAGCATTGTGGTAAAAGTTCATGTCTTTGTCAGGATGTTCTTGTGGGTTAAATGCATGTAAAGGGAGATAGAGATGGAGAAGATTATTACTTTTCAAATTTATATTCCAAGTATGGTTAACATAACCTCCGTGGTGCAGCGGCAACTCTTTTGTGAGGAAGGATAGGTAGAAATGGCAATGTTAACATATCATGTTGCTACAAGTTTTAGATCAAAGGGTTAATCGGTTTGCCGTAAGTTTCTGTGAGGGTAAGAAAATGTTGATCAAATTGCAACCTGTTTTACATTTGAGTATATGTTTTATCTTTAGCTTCTATAATAGTGAATGGCATGCAATGGATAGATATAATCAGATGAGAGATCTGGTGTTCAATCTCATTGGTGATTTGCATGCTGTATTACCCAAGTTTGAGCTTTTGTAAAATGGCATAAGTATTTCATACTATCTTCATTTTACTTGTTATTGCATGACCTAAAACTATAAGAATTGTTTTATCTCTGACGTTAGTACACTTTTATCAATGAGAATGCCTATAGCAGCTAGTGTCTAGTTGGTCCAAAAAAAAACAAAAAAAGATAGTCACTTTAATTCATGTGGTTGTTGTTCTAGGCGGTGGGTTTTCAACATGCGCTTTGTTCTTCTTGCTGCTAGAATTGTTTTTGTAGTTTATCATCGATCTGGTGGAACTTATGCTTACAAGTTTGGTATGGGGCCACTTATTATTTGTGGGGAGCATCTCCAATAGACCTCCAAATTCAGTGGCTACAACAACTTAAATGTGGGTCAAAGCCATTTATAGTTGCAATATCCTGCATTCTGTCGTATATGCAAAGCAATTTTTGGTAGATGGACGGAAAATTTAATAAACCAAACAATTAATTATTATTCACCCAATAGAGAAGATATTGTATTCTCTGATCTGATGAACATTGTGTTACTAAAGGTCATATATTCGAAGTAATATTAAGTTGAAGAGACTTGCCTTTTTCAAATACTGTGAAAGCAGAGAAGTTTTTTTCCTAAATGGTTTTATATCAACCATGAGATGATTGTATTTGGAAATTAAGAAAAACAACTTTGCAGTAGTGACAGCCTTAAATTTTAGTGCTAAATTAACCTTATTTGATATCCTGATTTTTTTTTCCAGATTTCCGAGTAGAAAAAGAAATTAGATGCCATAATCTCATTCTAAAGTCAATGTTTTATTATTTCTGCGTGGTGACTATGTAAGCATTGCTAGGACAACTTAAGGAAAAATATCAAGTTCTTTTATAGTTTCAAATATTTCTAGGAGGTAGAGAAAATGATCAAATTCTCTATAATAATAATAAAAAAAAAAAAAGTTATCAAATTCTTTAGAGATCCTATAATTTTGCTAACTAGCTGGTGAAACTCTAAAACAAAGTTCCTTAATTGTAATATGTATATGTTATCTCCAGAAAGTACTAAAACTTTCTCTGATTCTTTTGGATCCTTTTTCTTGTCCTTTATTTGGTGATTTTCTTGAGTTTTGTTTTATCAATTAGGGACAGGTTAGGAGATGGTGCAGAAAATGATTGATAAACTGTTGTATCAGGTGGCGGAATTTTAAGGAAGTGGAAGATAAGAACTACTCAGATCACTCTTACTGTGTCTTCTTTCTTGCTATGGTAATGAATGTCATTGAACAGCTATTGGAAGTGTCCAAACTTTCTTTTATTTCTCTGTTTAGGTACATCTATCTTTTACTGCGACTCAGTATCATAAACTTGAAGCAGTAATGTTAAAATAGCCTCAAGAAGTGGGCATGCCTGCATCAATGTTTTTATTTTTTGTGGCAGTGGTCTCGGGACCAGCTTGTGCACACAACACTAATATTCTACCGAGCACTAGCTATCTCTCACTTTGAACATGTGGTTTCCCATGGTTTTCATCTCATTTCATTTATGGCTAAACGGGTGTTGTCTGCAAACTCTGCATCAATGTTGCTTGCATGTGCTTTTCCATACCTCAGTACTCGGTACCTCGAGCAGTATCTTGCTGTTAATAGATGTTCAAGACCTTTATTGTCTCGTTACATTTGAACTTTTTTTGTATTACCGTGGTAATGATTTACGGAAGGGGAGCCATTGGCGTAACCGGTAAAGTTGCCTCCATGTGATCAGGAGGTCACAAGTTCGAGCCGTGGAAACAGCCTCTTGCAGAAATGCAAGGTAAGACTGCGTACAATAGACCCTTGTGGTCCGGCACTTCCTCGGACCCCGCGCAAAGCGGGAGCTTAGTGCACCGGGCTGCCCGTGGTAATGATTTGTGGAGATGATGGTATTTTTACATTTTAGGATATCAAATCACAATTCCGTGGATGACTTTTTATTTTTATGATGTGGATTGCAAAATCTGAAGACGGCACATTCCTGATATATTCTTATTCATGAATTCTATTTGAGACGTCTAGAAGAGTGTCTTTGGTGAATAATCTTACCAATAATCTGCAAAATTAGCGGTTGAGTATTGTAGAATACTACTTAATCTTTTTATTATTAGCTTAAGATTACCAGCTGATGTGCGCGGAAGTCCAATGTTCATTTGATTATCTAAATTCCTTTAGTGTTAGTTGATACTCCATCAGTTCGCTTTTAGTTGTCCAGGCTTTGCACTCCTTTAAAAAAAATTAAATGATGTATTTTACAATTTTACCCATAATAATGGTAGCATTTTAAAAAGTATTTATTGGGAAATGTGTATGGGTCAGAATCCGACCCCACGACAATTAACGAGGCTAATCCCATTTTAAGTTAATTCATGATTAATTAGTGGCACAACCACTCAGAATTGACGACGTTCAACCCGCCTCTGGAACGGTCAACAAGGCCCTGGCCTATCCGCCACTACAGAGGCGAGATCTCAACGTGGTCACGGCCACTTATTGCCAGCTTACGAAGGCCACAGCTATAAATACCAAGAGAGGGGACCCTATAAAAAGGGGCTGCTTCTTCACTACTATAGACAGGAGAGAGAAGGGAAAAATATACCCATCTTATGGGAAGAGAAAGACACCATTGTAAGGCTCTGAACCTCTTCATGGAGAGGCAGACTAAACAAATATTATCAATAAAGGCTTTTAATGTGTCTCCCCCTAATTCTGAATACTTATTTTCGTTTCTTTCATTTGGTCCAATGTATTATTACGATTTGCTATGACTTTCCCGTGATTATTTGTATTGTTATGCACTCATAAGATATGTGATAACTTTTGAGCAAACAATTTAGCGCCGTCTGTGGGGATTTCATAGCAAAATCGTGTAGTTCTTCCATGGACCAAAAGGAAAGAAACGCCGGAAAAAGAAGAAACAGCCCCGCATAAACAAGCCAAAGCGGCAGATCAGGCCGATGGAACTCAAAGATATCGAATCGAGATTCAGTTCCTCTGTCTCTCATCTATCGGATGGTGCAAACAAGAAGAAGAAGCCATCCCCCCTCTCTTTTGGGGAGAATCTTCGTAAGAGATCTCCCACATCCCTGATAAGGGCTCCAGCCGGAAACTAGCACGGAGGAATCTCGAATCGAGAATCGCCTCAAGACAGCCTATAAACCCTGGTTGGGAAGACAACGGATGAGCCGCTCAAGGTCTCGAATCCAAACCGAGCTTCAGCACTCAATACCCACAATATGGGACTCAGGCCATGAGCCTTCGTCATCAAGATCGACAAAGTTACACAACAGTTGAACTGGGACTCAGGCCATGAGCCTTCGTCATCAAAGATCGACAAAGTTCAACAACAGTTGAACTGGGACTCAGACCATGGGCCTTCGTCATCAAAGATTGACAAAGTTCAACAACAGTTGAACTGGGACTCAGGCCATGAGCCTTCGTCACCAAAGATCGACAAAGTTCAACAACAGTTGAACCAAGACAGGCTATGCGCCTTCACCAAAAGTTCAACTACGGTTGAACCAAGACAGGCTATGCGCCTTCACCAAAAAGTTCAACTACGGTTGAATCGAGACAGGCTACGCGCCTTCACCAGAAAGTTCAACTACGGTTGAACCGGGACTCAGGCCATGAGCCTTCGCCGTCAAAATCGACTAAGTTCAACAACAGTTGAACCGGGATTCAGGCTATGCGCCTTCGCCATTATATCAAGGCTATGCGCCTTCACCAAAAGTTCAACTACGGTTGAACCAAGACAGGCTTCGCGCCTTAACCAAAAAGTTCAATTACGGTTGAACCGGGACTCAGGCTACGCGCCTTCACCAAAAAGTTCAACTACGGTTGAACCGGGACTCAGGCTATGCGCCTTCACCAAAAAAGTTCGACTACGGTTGAACCGAGACAGGCTACGCGCCTTCACCAGAAAGTTCAACTACGGTTGAACCGGGACTCAGGCCATGAGCCTTCGCCGTCAAAATCAACTAAGTTCAACAACAGTTGAACTGGGATTCAGGCTATGCGCCTTCGCCATTATATCAAGGCTATGCGCCTTCACCAAAAGTTCAACTACGGTTGAACCAAGACAGGCTACGCGCCTTCACCAAAAAGTTCAACTACGGTTGAACCGGGACTCAGGCTACGCGCCTTCACCAAAAAGTTCAACTACGGTTGAACCGGGACTCAGGCTATGCGCCTTCACCAAAAAAGTTCGACTACGGTTGAACCGAGACAGGCTACGCGCCTTCACCAGAAAGTTCAACTACGGTTGAACCGGGACTCAGGCCATGAGCCTTCGCCGTCAAAATCGACTAAGTTCAACAACAGTTGAACCGGGATTCAGGCTATGCGCCTTCGCCATTATATCAAGGCTATGCGCCTTCGCCAAGAGTTCAACTACGGTTGAACCAAGACAGGCTATGCGCCTTCACCAGAAAGTTCAACTACAGTTGAACCAAGACAGGCTATGCGCCTTTACCAGAAAGTTCAACTACGGTTGAACCGGGACTCAGGCTATGCGCCTTCGCCATTATATCAAGGCTATGCGCCTTCGTCAAAAAGTTCAACTACGGTTGAACCAAGACAGGCTACGCGCCTTCACCAGAAAGTTCAACTAAGGTTGAACCGGGACTCAGGCCATGAGCCTTCGCCGTCAAATCGACCAAGTTCAACTACGGTTGAACCAATACAGGCTACGCAACTTCACCGGAAAGTTCAACTAAGGTTGAACCGGGACTCAGGCCATGAGCCTTCGCCGTCAAAATCGACTAAGTTCAACAACAGTTGAACCGGGATTCAGGCTATGCGCCTTCGCCATTATATCAAGGCTATGCGCCTTCACCAAAAGTTCAACTACGGTTGAACCGGGACTCAGGCTATGCGCCTTCACCAAAAAAGTTCGACTACGGTTGAACCGAGACAGGCTACGCGCCTTCACCAGAAAGTTCAACTAAGGTTGAACCGGGACTCAGGCTATGCGCCTTCGCCATTATATCAAGGCTATGCGCCTTCACCAAAAGTTCAACTACGGTTGAACCAAGACAGGCTACGCGCCTTCACCAAAAAGTTCAACT